GCAATCTAGGTGTCGTTGCCTAGGGGCACCAAAGAGTCTTAATCCGCCACTGCTTGCTGCTGTTCCCATCCGGCCCTCTTGATAATACTAACCTGGTACATATAAATGGTGCTCTTTCAAAGTCATATGGATGTTGTAATATATATCATGCATATTGGTATCACAGTGAACCATCACAATCAGTGATATATATATATATACGTATATGAGCAATATCATACGAGTAGACGTGAGATATGGCTGTATATCAGCACGGCTGTGAGTGTATGTAAACTTTTGAATAGGGTCATTTTTATAAATTCAACTATTATTTTCTCTTGTGGACTATATGCAAATGTATCTTATGCAAAATATCTTACTCAGGTCAGTACTAAATAAAAAATAGCATGCATTTTGTATGATCCCTCTTATTTTGGTAAAATAATTAAAATATTGCAGATACTGCAAAGTATTATAATTATAAAATACAGAAATCTTGGGTTTTAAGAATTGAAATAAAGCTGAAATAAATATTAGATGAAAACTTAAAAAAAGCTTGAATGAATATTAGAATTTACTGAAACTGAAATCAAACTTACAGCTAAATAGAAAAAAAATAATGAAAACGATAAAAGCACATACAATTACTTAAACTAAAATTTACATGAAAACTGAAATCATGAAATATGATCATATGAAAAACTGAACTGAAATCTTTATGATGAATTCCTTATTTGTAAGTAGCTTTGGATAAAAGTGTCTGCTAAATTAATAAATGGAAATATAGAAATAAAAGCCATTTCAGTTTTTCACAGTGGCTTGGTGCACCCTCAGTGCACTTTTATTAAAAACTATATCCTATAACTAAGATACTACAAGTAAGCTTTAACAACTATGTATAAAATGTAATTTATTTTCTGAATTAGTTATTTTCATACTTATTAAATGTTAAAAGGGTTCTGTGCCAAACAAAAGTCACTTTCTTTTTTAACTAAAATAAAGAGCTTTAAGGAATAAGCACTCAACAGTGAATATTTAATCCTGAATACACACAATCAGCTTCATGAATACTAACAGGCTTTTGGCTCGGAAGCTAAAAACAATGACTTTCAAGAGTCCTCGATTCAAAAAGCAGTGAGCTTGCATCAGTTAGGGACCAGCACATAATGATTAAGTGTAGGACTGCAGCCAGACCCTCTCACGCTAGAAGAGCCCAACATCTCTAGGGAGTCAAACAAAGGGTGGAAAAAAACTCATGGATTAAATGGCATGTGTAATTTCCCCACTGCATCATCTCTGTCACACCAGAGTCCAGTGCAGGATATAATCTATGCGTGAAAGCAGATGGGAATGTGCAGAGTACCGTGTGCTTTCTCATCCCATGTTTTACAATGAGCCAATTTAGACTTGGTGTTTTTGTTTCGCTCCACACTGCTGCTAAGCAACCAAGTAAAATCTGCACCTAAATTCACTTTACCATAATTTGACCAATTTCCCTAAAGTTTATGAGTGTCTGCATTACACACGAATGTGTTGATTATCTTGCTGAATTAAATTTTAGTCAGCTCCCTGTTCTGACCATTTTTTTGTGTCGTTTTTTTTTTTAGTAGTAGCCCTACTTGTGAAGAAAAGCATCGTTATTATCATTCCTAACTGTTCTAGTCAAACCTTGAGGTAAAACCATCCTGCATGGTTTGTGCTACGGAAATTAATGATACCTTAATTTGTAAAGAAATCCTTACATTTCTTTACAAAAAGTGGCTTTTCGGTTTTTCCCTTGGCAGAAGACAGGTGAACATCCATATCAACACCTTAGATATCACAAAGAAAGCCCTAGCAAACACCTAGCAGCACCCTTGTGAGCACCTAGAATGCCATAGCAAATTTCTATAGGCTGTCACCATTCACATTTTCTTCAGAAAATCAAGGTAATGTCTTTGGTTCCTAACTCTTTCATTTTCCGTTCTTTCTGTCTCTTCATGTATCAGCCCATAACCAATAACAACCCCTGGATGCTGCTGTACTTCATCTCCTTCCTCCTGATCGTCAGTTTCTTCGTGCTGAACATGTTTGTTGGAGTGGTGGTGGAGAACTTCCACAAGTGCCGACAGCACCAGGAGGTGGAGGAGGCCAAGAGGAGGGAGGAGAAGAGACTGAGACGCATGGAAAAAAAGAGACGGAGTAAGAAAGAGAAAAGGAGATGAGAGGCAGGAATCATGTGCCGTGGAATCTGTTTCTAATGGGTCTGGCCAATAAAAGAGTAATAACAATGGATAAAGCCACCTCTTGTTCAATTTAATATTGTCTTTAGTTTGGGAAAAACCCTCTTATTAGACTGAATTAACTTAGATATGTATTTTACCTGCAATAATTCAGGATGACAGAATCAACTGGGCAAAATACTTTTAAAACAAACAAACAAAAAAATTTTGTTTAAAAAAATAAAAATGATAATAATAATAAAATACATCACTGACCCTTCTGGCCATACCTGTTCCATAGAGAGGAGAATGAAATCCATAAGGTAAAGAAGGATGGAGCGCAGTGACTGTAAATGAAAAGAGATGATTTGATTTGCACATGATATGCTGAACAACCAGTTTATTTCTCCAGACATCTTATAATAACATTAGCCAGATGGAGAGACCTCACAGGTGTGTTCTGTGATGCATCTTTTCTCTGCAGAAAACAAATCTAGTTTATGGACCAGAGAGTAGCCTTTTCATCACATATATAAACTGTAGCTAATTTGTTTGATGGTAAATAATTATCTTGTCTCAATCTAATGTGCAGAGATAATTGTAAGTAATCCAGTAGTAGGTTGATTTTCATAAAAGTGTAAACACTGTGGCTCTGTAGCGCTAACAAAACATTTCTCTTTTTGTTTGAGCGTCACAGCATAGCAACATTGACTGAACCAATGGAATGAGTTTGGGGGTGGGACTATGTGTTTGACCGGTGAATTGCAGTAGTGTTATTGAAACCTGTTTGAATTCCATTTGTTGAATTTACACACTTCAGCTTTATATATTTGTTGTCAAAAGGTGTTCATTCTAAACTGATCTATTCGTTTCTTTCAGAGGCCCAGAAGTTGCCCTACTATGCCAGTTACAGTCATGTGCGATTGATGATCCACACCCTGTGCACCAGTCACTACCTGGACATCTTCATCACCTTCATCATCTGTGTAAACGTTGTGACTATGTCACTGGAGCACTACAGCCAGCCTCATGTAAGATAAAATGCAGACTTCATTCTCTAAAACAGGGTTTCTCAAACTTTTTTGAACCAAGGTTCCAACTGTCCACAATAAGTCAGTTTGACTTCTTGACTTACTACGGAAACTGACATTTTTATTTTATTATATTTATTGAGTAATTTCATCAGTCCCACACACACACACACACACACACACACAATATATATGCACTACCGTTTAAAAGTTTGCGTGAAGAAACATTATTATTTTGAATTTTCAAATTCTAATATATTGTATTTTTATCCTTACAGCCATCATTGCTGATTTGGCTTTGTAACACTTTGCCTTGTTATTTTCAGTGAGACCCTAGGGGTCCATGAATTTGAGAAACTCTGCAAACACATACAGTCTCATAAAAGCATGCAACTTAACTTAAATTAATTAATTTATACAAAATACTGTATATTAAGCATTACCTGAACATTCATAGAATACTTGATATTGTTATATTACTAATGTAAAATGACTGGTTTGGTTGACTTTATGAACCCGAGGTGAAAGTCTTTTAATCATTCACACCTCTCTTGTTCTCTTCCTCTGTTTCTCTGGCTTCCTCTCTGTCTGTATGTTTCCTTCCCCCCAGTCTCTGGAGATCGCACTCAAGTACTGTAATTATTTCTTCACCAGCACCTTTGTGCTGGAGGCTGTCCTGAAGCTCATCGCGTTTGGCTTCCGACGTTTCTTCAAAGACAGGTATTGAGTTTCTCCTTCTCACCTTTCATCTCCTCACGTTTCCTCTCCTCCAATCGCTAATTGATTTAATGAATTCATTAGATGTCGATTCCACCTGACCGAATCCTCTTAGTTTGTTCTCTAGAGTCACTGGAGGATGTGTTACAGGCAAAATGTTGCATCTGCTGTTGCTTTCATGGCGCAGATAAAAATTAAATTAGCCCTGCATTATGTAAATACAACAAAGCGCACCAGATACAGTAAAAAGCGAGAGTGAACGTGGTTATTTGTCTTAAGGGTTTAATGAAATCTCTCTCCTGTGTTTGTTTCCCTAATAGAACTCCTACTTATCATTAGGCTGACTACAAGAGCGGTTCCTCTGGCTTGTCATAAACTAATACTGACATGTATCAAGGTGCATAGAGCAAGCACAGGGTGTAAACGTCCCGGCATTTTGTAGCTTTATTAGAATATATGGTATTGACCCATTTAAAAGAGTAAAAAAAACACAGGCTCAGACCACAGTGCACTTTGTCTTTTTTATTCACGCATATTCAGGTCTGACACCAGAAAGCTTTCAACAAGCCATTATTTATTGTCGTAGCTCTCTGTGCCTCTTAACTAGGTCACAATTACGAGCTGGATGGCAGAGGTGTGTGCGCAGACAGGTGTGCCACGGCTGGTTCCAGCACCGCAGATGTGGGCGACTGTGATTTGTGCTGTAGTGTAAAAACGAGCCGTCCCTCGTCCTGCATTAGCGAATGAGGTCACCTATGCTTGAGTGGGTCCTTAATTCTCCCTAATTGGGTGTTATTAAGTGGTCCCTAGCAAAAATTCAGGTCCCAAGCCACCTGTTTCTGAATTCAAATGTTAATTTCTTTTAAGCCACCTCTCTGGAGGAGTAAATGACCAGATTGGAATGAAACTAGAGGGGAAGGTTGGATTCAGAGTGCATGAAAGTTGATTTTTTGCTTAACAGAGCAAATCTGTCCCTTGTGTATGTGTGCAGGTGGAACCAGCTGGATTTGGCTATAGTGCTGCTGTCAGTCATGGGCATCATATTGGAGGAGATCGAGATCAGTGCATCTCTGCCCATCAACCCCACCATCATACGTATCATGAGGGTCCTACGCATCGCACGTGGTTAGTTATACAAGCACAGTCACTGACCACTGGCTAACACCACTGATCATAGATGCTGCTAGATGTTTCAGCACCCCTAAATACATAATTAAACTGTCAGAGCCTTTAAAATATCTAATTATATGATCTTTCCTGAGGCTTCAGTAAGCTACCTGAGGGTATTTTTTGACTCTGAATTCCCTTACCGGGTTTTGATGGTCGACCAGTCATCCAACAACTGATTTTTCGATTAGCAAGGCCAAATAGTTTATCTAGATTATTCTGTTTATGTATTTTTTTCCTTTATATAGCCTGTGTTAAAATATATATATATATATATATATATATATACAGGTGCATCTCAATAAATTAGAATGTCGTGGAAAAGTTCATTTATTTCAGTAATTCAACATGCAAGAATGTAGTCCTTTAATATAAACTGACATACTTCTAGCAATATACAGTATATAATACATGCAATATGATTGGTTTATTCAAATATTACTGGAGCAAGTTTAAACTCAGAACTTCTTGCTCTTGAAGCAATAAATATTTTTCTAACCCACATCAGCTCATGTTCAGATGAATCCTAGAATTGCCCCTGCCACACATCCATTCTGGCATAATCTCCGCATGTGCTTATTGTCACACACCACAACCATTACTTTCCTGAATTTTATCTTTCTTTTATTTATTTTTAGTCCTTTATCACTTTTATTGAGTAGCAAGTAGCAAGGGAACAGGAAATGATGGAGAGTGAGAAAAGGAATGAGCCTGGGAAATGTTGCTAGCCAAATTTGAACTTTATCCCCCACATGAGACCCACAGCCAGATGTGTTTTAGCATGTCTGCCAAACCTTTTTTTTTATCTTTTATCTTAATAAATGACAAAAGTCTATTTATTTTGTCTGCAGTGTACTCCAGATCAGATCAAACCTATTTTTTTCCTGCATTTCTCAGTGTGCTTTTTAATCTTTTAATCAACCAGACAGCCTGAAATACAAATGAGCACGCTTCATGTACGGAATATTGTTACGAAAAGTTGTTTTAATACTCATCTCCAGCACCAAATTCTATTTGTCTCTCCAAATCTCTCATTTTCTCCTCCCCATTTGCCTCTAACACCTGATCAGTGGCTCATGTGTTGATAAGCCCCTAATAGCCAATGAGTCTTATGTTCCCCTCATTACCCAATACGAGCCTTAGAGATATTGACTCCATCATACCAAAATGGTATTTTGCACAGTTCAGTGATGCTGTATTATTGAGGATTGATCTGTTTGTCTAGAGTTTAATCTGTTATTTAATCCTGCTGTTGTCCACAGCCATCATTGAGTCAGTGTGCCATCATTCTACATCTGAACGGGGAGAGGGCGGCAGTGTGAGGGTTTAATTTTAGCCCTGACCTTTTCCTTCTCTCCTCATTAGCCGTTTAGGCTGGAATTAAACCAAGGGGGGGTGGGGGGGGCTTGTCTGTTATTGGCCTCTTTGTTTTTCTTCTTCTGAAATGATCAACGCCTCGTAGACATGCATATACTGAGCTGTCTTGTTGAACTCTCTGTAACTCTCTCTCTCTTTCTCGCTCACTCTGACAGTGCTAAAGCTGTTAAAGATGGCCACGGGAATGAGAGCGCTGCTGGATACGGTAGTTCAAGCCCTGCCACAGGTGATAATACCACTACAAACCACATGATGAAGCATTGCATTGTCACCCCACCCACTTTTATTCATATTTTGGCTCGAGAAGAGGAAGTCATCCAAGCAGTGTAGACAACAAGAACAGGCTGCTCATTGGCCCATTAAATTTGGTGATTCATAGAACCACAAACTCGCTCAGGGCAGATAATAACCCCAAAGCAAGAATAAAGTACCTGCTTTTGCATACACACACGTACACACACGCATGCGCATATTCATCTTGTTCATTGCTTTTTCAACTGGGACACATTAATAATAAACTTTATTTTTATATCACACCTTTAAAGGTAGCTTTAAAGCACAATATAAAATCAAATAAAAAAGACATATAAAAAAGTTAAATTGATTGAGTCAAATAAAAGCTCTCCTAAAGAAAAAGTTGGAACTCTAATGTAGCAAGATCCATAATTTTGATCACCCATTTAAGTTTGAGGAATAGTTAAAAGACACAAGTTTTAAGAAAGATGACAGGTAATGTGAAAAAGAAGGCGGTTCACACACACACACACACACACACACACACACACACGCACACTCACTCCATAAAGCAATCCAAAACTCTTTCATAGTCAGACACGCAGAGCGTTGTTGCCGTCTAAGTGGTCACAGAGGGGTAACTGCTTCAGGAGAGAACTGCTGGCTAGACACCTCCAGGGTGGAGTAAAGCGTCACTCCTCTGTGGATATTGATCCCTTGTTCATTACTGCTGGGCCCAATGTCTTATCCCCATGGCATCTGTGAGGTAATTAACGCCGCAGCTGATTAAAGAGCCACTCAGGCACTCAGTCCCACCACACACAATTCTTATTTAGTACATTCTTCCAGAAACTCCTGTGCATTTCCTTTACAACTCTCTTAGAGATACTGCTCATTCCCCATAGGCTTCAGCTTTTATAGTTTAGCCTATGTTAGGGTGACCATACGTCCCATTTTCCCAGGACGCGTCCTGGCCAGGATTTCTATATTGCTTTGATTCAATGTACCTCGACAGCGTTTCGAAAACACAAGGAACCGATGTCATACACCGATCGGTCTGCACACGCAAACAAAGCCAAACCCTAGATATTTTAGGCAATATAAAATATTGGGAAAATGGGAAAATGGCACGTATGGTCACCCTAGCCCATGTCATTTAACATTCTTGTGGTCCTTGCATAGATTTAGTTTTGCTTAAAGATATTTTACAATCTGCACAGTTTTTAACATAAATAGACAGTGTTTTTACACAGAGATATGTTTAACTGATGTATCTAAAAAAGGATCACCTGAATGTATTGTATTAGTTTTAAATGTTTTAAATAGGTTTTGTTAATTGTTTGATTTTTGTTATTCACTTTATTCTCGACATGAAGATAGTCTTGCCACATACATGGTGTTAAAAAAATTATAAATAAATAAATAGATTACATTTTGCAGTAGATTTACCTTAAGCCAGAGACGTACACTACTGTTCAAAAGTCTGTGAGATTTATACATTTTCTCTTATGCTCACCAAGGCTGCATTTATTTGATTGAAAACACAGTAAAACAGTAACATTGGGTAATATTATTATAATTTAAAATAATGCTTTTCTAATTTAATATATTTTAAATTGTAATGTATTCCTGTGATGGCAAAGCTGAGTTTTCACCAGCCATTACTCCAGTCTTCAGTGTCACATGATCCTTCAGAAATCATTCTAATATGTTGATTTGGTGCTCAAGAAACATTTCTTATTATCAAAATTGATATGTGTGTATATATATATATATATATATATATACAGTCATATCAATTTTGATAATAAGAAATGTTTCTTGAGCACCAAATCAACATATTAGAATGATTTCTGAAGGATCAT